CTTGGAGGATGCGGGGGGGGGGGAGAAAAATCAGGGGGACGTAAGACCTGGGTACAGGGGACTCGGAAATCTCCGACGAGGTAGTCAAAAAAATGACGAGGCCGAGCCTGCATTTTGACGAGGCCTCCCGCTGCAGACATCCCACGAAACTCCTCCTCGTCAAAATCCGAGGCGCGGTCGTCAAAAAACGATGGCGAACCCGAGTCCTGGCAAACCCGGGTCTTACGCTCCCCCGACAAAAAGGGGGAGGAAGGAGGAAGAGGGCGAGCTGGGCAGGGAGGAGGGCAGGAGGGATGGGGGCGAGCAGGGAGGAGGGAAGAGAAAAAGGCGAGAGACGGGAGGCGGGGATGGGCAAGGGCGGGTATTCAGCCAGAAGGATTCCACAGGATGCCATGCCGCCCATGCGTGGCAGATCCCAGGACCACAAAATCATCGATGAAAGCTGACACCAACGCCGGCGACTCTGGGAACCCCGTGACCCGTCAATTCTCGGGCGGTGCTGGCTGGGGTTCCACGCAGCAGCGCCCGAAAACAGCACCGCCCGAAGGCACACTCGACGAGGCGTCCACTGCTCGGGTAAGCTCGGCAGGCCCCTCGGACACGGGAGCCCCAGCCCTAGCCTCTGCACTCGAACGTGCCTGCATCACTGCGCGAACAGATTTGGTGTGTCCTCCCTCCTAGGGTAGAGCCCCTTACGAGTTCGAGAAAGGTCTTCAGCACCCTGTCCGGATCGGCCAAGACAAGCCACCTCTCGTCGCATAATAATGGCCACACCCGTGGTGGAAAACAATGCAGAACTTAGCCCAGTCACCGAGCTTGTGCGACTTATGCTGCACCGTCCCATGGAGGCTCCTTCGAGGCTCCAGAGGCAATGGGGGCAGAGTTGAGCACAGGAAGGGGAGGCGCACTGGGGACAGGCGGCGGCACGCATGCAGTGCGGCACAGCTCTAACAACGAGGGCCCATGCGCCATCTGGGTTCGCACCTCACGCCGCCACTTCGCCCCAACCTGAAACAGAAGTGCGAGCAGACTCGCACAGCGCTAACTTTACCCCCGTCCATCTCGCAATCCGATGCGCGTTTTCTTCACGCTCCGCTTCGCCGAGTCCACATCAAGACGAATATCCAGGGTATTCGAAGCTCTCGTACGGACGAGGGCAGCGGTGGCATCCCAGAGATCAACATGGGGGGCCTCATGGAGAACGAATCCTTCCAGGCCCTCTCCGGCGCCACCCCAGCCCGAAGGTCCGCGGACGCCGCCTCGTCAACAAGTAAAAACAGATCACGATCCGTGACCATCCGTGACCAGACGCTGCCTGCTCTCGTCCTCATCAGCATGCGAGGCTATCCACTCGAGCTTGACGGGGCGGTCAGCACTGGCGGCTCGGATCCTAGCTCAAAGATCCTCATCGGGGCCTTTGGTGACCGTCCTGCTCCTACAAGGCCTGACCCTAAGCAGACCCTCGTGGTGAGTCACGTAGTGCATGGGCCTCTTGGTGCACTTCAGCGTGACCATCGTGGCGCCCAGCTGCCAAGCACCTTCGCGCCACCCAAGCACAGCCACAGCCGCGCCGCACCTCGTGGGACGCTGGTCATCAGAGTGCTTGCCTCCTGACGCGTCCCCCCCGAACGCAGTGAGAGTCCCCCCCCTCCCGAGATTCACCTAAGGCACTTACTTGTACACACATCATATCCGAGGCACTATTTTCTTCATCGAAGAGTGGCGTGGTGAGTGACTTAGGCGTGAGCCCTCTCAACCAGAGGGCAGGCTCACTGTCCACCACCGCCGGTGCCTTCGGGATCCGGTGCTCGGACTGTCTGAACTCCCTGTGCTCGTTGGTGTTGGCTGGGCATCTCCAGGTCCCTTGTGCCAGCGCCTCCTCCGACAGGCCGCACCGCGGGCACTCCATCTTCACGAGGTATCCACCCTTGTGCTCTCGTGTGCGGCACCACGGACTCCCGCCCACCACAGCCATCAGCCTGCTCCACTCAGCCCTCACCCACCTTACCTGGCATGCCGGCTTGGCTCCCGTCGCACATGCAGAACATCGGTTCCATCTGCCAGGTCGCAGCCGTCCTCATGCTCAGCTGCCTGTCTCCGCAGCTGCCGTCGCACATCTTCACGTCTGTCGTGCAAAATGACTCGGTGATTTATGAAGCGGCCGAAGGCGTCTGCGTCCGCCTCCACCAGGTGCCACTCTGTGCTGGCTTGCCTTTTTTTCTGGTCTGATCAGCAACTTTGCCGATCGTGCCTCCCTGCCAAGGTCCATGAGCGTCGCGATGACCGCGCCCATGGTCGCACGTACTCTGCGGCATCTGCCAGCTCACCCTGCTGATCCTTCTTGATCCTCATGTGTAGTTCATCGGGGGCGGCCAAGAGGGGGGTGTCCAAGAGGGGTGTGTGCAAGTAATGGCCGGCGGCATGTGCGCGGCCCAAGGGGGGGCCAGGGACATAATGAAATAAGAAGAGTCGCCAAGAAACCTGGGGAAATATCATGGCCCACGCCATGATATCCCCCCCCCTAGTCATCACCCCCCTTTTTGCCGCCCCCGAGTTCAGGCGCGGACTCACAGGAGGCAGAGCCAGGAATCCTGGAGTTGGGCCGCTGCTTTGCCGCAGGCTAAGACTGCAGCAAAGCAGCGGCCTCCCACTTCCCCCCCCCCCCCCCGGCGGCCCCAGCCTGCTGCCTCAGTTGCCTGATGCGCGAGGGCGCGAGGAGGAGGAGGAGGAGGAGGAGGATGAGGAGGAGGAGGAGGAGAAGCAGTGTAACCCCGAGCGCATTAACGGTGTTGTAATACATCCTCCTCCATCTCAGAATCCTCATCCAATACGTCCAAACCAAAAATGAAATCTTCATTGCGGAACGTGCCCCATTGGAAGGCAACCGTCTGAGAATCCTCGACCGTGCCAAAACACAATCCCTGGGACTTCAACGCCGCGAATCAACGTGACAGTTGCGTCCTGGCAATCGCAAGCCGTGCCAGAGCACCACCACTGGGACTTCAGAACCGCGAGTCGACGTGACTGCCGCGTCCTGACAATCCTGAATCGTGCCAGATTGTCAGCCATACGAGGCCTGGACACTGTTGCGAACTTCTGCTAACTATGCTTATAAGGACTCCCTTTCCCCGCGATTGTTTGCTTCATGTGAGAGCCTGGCCCAATTATTTCGGCTGGCCCAGTGTCTCCTGCCTTGTGTGCGGAGACGTGCTTCAGACTGTTGTTGCGGAGTGCCAGCAAGAGAAAGTCTAACTGAATAGTGCATCGTGAGGAACGCATCGCGTGACATACAACTTACAATGTACGTGCCAGGGCTCATGCCATGACGACTGAGGAAGTGATGGGGCCAGGGCGGGCCCTCAGGAGTCCCAAGAGACCTCGGAGCCCAAGGACCCATCCAGGAACTGAACAAGTGATAGAGCCAGGGGTAGAAAAGGCCGAGCTTCCTGCCATCGAAGTCCACCACTGGGGACACTGAGCATGCGCGGCCAAGGATACATCCACGGTGGAGTGCATGGAACGAGGGGCGAGTGCACGGACGGACAACCAACGCATTCGGATAACAACCAGCGGGATATCCGTGCTGGGCCTCCGCGCGGCCTCGTGTACACGGGCGAAGACCCGCCCACCGTCCAGGAGCTCGGCCCCAGCAGTCCAATCGCGAACACGACGGAGCAGGAGAGCGCGTGGGAAGTCAGAGTCTCGCTTCGGAGCGCACATCGATTGCTTATGCTCTCCAGGTCTTTCAAAGCTGATTTCGGAATTGCACGCATCAGGCTTGTTTGGTACTGACAAAAGTGAGGGACGAAACTCGCGGCATACTAGCCTGGGGCTTTGTGCGCAGGGCACGAAGTCGTCACCTTCAAGCACCAAGTTGAGAACGAAACGGCTAAACAATTTCGAGACGAATGTGCGCCGCGCCACAACGATACCTACATTTTGACAGACGCCTGCCCTCCATCCGTGAAGCTGTGACGAACGTTGAAGACGAATGCGCGCCGCGCCGCAACGAGAACCACACGGTGGAATCCACCCGTCCTCCATCCTCGAAGGTGTGGCAAACTTCTGAAGCGAACGTGCGCGGCGCTACGGCGAGAGCCCCAATTTGAAAACCACCCGCCCTCCATCCTTGAAGCTGCAGTAAGCTCAAAACTGCAAGCTTCAAATTCAGAACTGGTGAGGGCGTCTCAGGCGAAGCGCCAAGCGGGCCCTACTGTCTGTCACGTCTGGGGGTACGGCAGGGGGGAGCTACTCACAGGGAGGAGTAGTGAAGGAGGGACAGGAGGAGGAGGAGGAGGAGGAGGAGGAGGAGGAAGAGGAGGAGGAGGGGGAGAGGAGGAGAGAGGAGGAGGAGGAGGGAGGATAGGAGAGAGGAGGAGGAGGAGGAGGAGGAGGAGAGGAGGAGGAGGGAGGGAGGAGGAGGAGGATGGGAGGAGGAGAGGAGGAGAGGAGGAGGAGGAGGAGGAGGAGCGGCGAGAGGGAATGGAGGTAGGAACAAGGAGTGGTCGAAGAGGAACGACGGAAGAGGAACGATGGGGCGATGAGGCAAGTGAGGGTGAATGAAGGGGGATATTGATGAGGACGAGCGGACAAGGAGGATCGGCAAGGATCGGGATGGAGAAGGGGGGGGGGGGGGGATGGGGGGGGGCAATGCGGAAGTGGGGGGATGGAGGAGGGATGGAGGACTGTGGAGGAGCGGCAGGGGTAAGGGAGGAACATGATAATGAGGAGAGAGGAGGAGAGAGGTAGGCTAACAGCTGGGCGCGCTCGCGCCACATCTGGCGTCATATCCTTCCCGTCCATCCCTTTCCTTCTCGCTGAATATTTTTCTGTATGCCAACTGGGGTGTCCAAGAGGACCTCGACACCCAAACGACAGTTGCAAGATGTGGTCCATTATGTGCTGCACAATGGATACGTAAGCTGCTGGCCAACAGAGACAGGAGGAGGAGGAGGAGCAAGAGACGGATGAGCAAGGGGGCGAAGGAAAATGAGGAGAGC